GAAGGTGGAAGGGGCATGTGTGTAATTTATTGGGCAACTAAACCCATACTATATATATATATATATATATATATATATATATATATATATATATATATATAATCAATGCCATCTCATCTTGGAGGAGCACATATTAACAGTAATAAGTGTAGTATAATAATAGCTACATATTGATGGGGATGTTATAACTGTGATAATGACAAAATCATAGTCCCACAGAGAATAAGCACACTTATTTTGAATTACCTATTAGAAATTAGATGTTCATAGATAAACATATATTATATACACACATACAAAACTAGAAATGCCTAGAGAAATTTTTATATAAACAGCCTCTATGAAAAGTCAGTGTTCCTAATACTTCTCCTCTGACTAATAAAATAAAGATAAATGCTAAAACCTTACAAACACACAAATGTACTACTTACTAAACCTACAAGTTACTATACCTCCAGAAATTATAGTTATTTAGAAGTCGAACAGATAATCACTGAGTATATGTATGCACATTACATGGAAGGATTAAGGCAATTCAATTGATATTTAAAATAACACACAGGCACGAATACATATAGAAATAAATGTGAAACAAATACCCTTCATTATCGAAAAGCATAAAATATACAAACTTGGAAGATAACTTGCTTTTTATTACTAATTAAAAATATAAAAAAAAGAAGACAAAATGAACATGTGAACGAATGTACAACTAGTGTTCTCTATGTATATTATTATGCTAATAGTAAAGATGTTCCTTTCACTTTTTTTTCTCCTTTTATCAAGGAGAAATTTTTTTCGAAATGTAAGAAAAAATTGGAGATTTTAATCAAACCGATCGATAAGTTATCGAAAAAGAATTAAATGTACGCTGAATATTAGATGCTTTTGAGATGATTAATTTCAAAATAATACCTTTTACTTAGCGTGATGGTAATTGTTTAATCCCTATCAATTTAATATAATGGAAGAATAAATCAGTTTATCTCAAACTCAACTGTAGCTATTGCATGAATAAAGTAACTGTCGAGATTGAATATCGCGATGATCCGATCGCAAAATACCAGTTGGAACACTCGTTTCTTTAGTCACTACCAACCATTTTTAATAGTTCGGTTGGGGAGGGGGTGACTGGATTCGAAAATTTCGGCCTTATAAACATAATAACCCACCTTGCCTCATGGATCTCTGTTACCGGTGATAATACCCTTTCAATCTGGAGTGAAAACAGAGAAGTACTGGAGAAAAGGTCATAAGTGACCAGCCTCAAGCAGTTGTCCATTGAGCTCCGTGATCACGCTGTTGTTATTATTAGTAGTATTATTATTATTTAAACAAAACCATAGGCACAAGGAGGCACCAAATAGATATGCGCCACATAAATCATTCGACTTGTGTGAGGGCTCGAATATTGTCCGGGTGCCCAAACTGAAGCAACTGCTTTTCTTAGAAGGCCACACTTGGAGCCTTCGACCTAGAGGTAGTGGAGCAAAGTTAAGAGATGCAGTCCCATGGTAGCCGGTGACCAATAAATGGTCCATACTCCATTTGTTCCCTGAAGACCCCACAGCTCATGTGCACCATTGGTTTGGAATCAGGGTTTTCCAATTCCCCTAGGTGAATCCTCCATATCCACCAACCCGGTTAAAGCTTCGGGAGTTGGCTTTTCGTTCTCGCAATTTCGTAAACAACACCCACGCCACGAGAAGTCAGTCAGCAACAACATCGGTCGAAAGTGCCGCGAGAAGGCAGTGAGTCGGACTTCCCTGGCAGTGACGATGTGAGAGCATTTTGAGGAGAAATAGCTTTCTACACCTTTGACCAAGGCAAAACGCAACAAACAGATTGTCATATCATAATCTGAAATATTCACAATTACCCAGTTATTTTCGAAATATCTAAAATTCACAAGAATATTGAAATGTCTAATCATTAACTCTGACGATGTTACCTAATCCTTAGTGAGTCTATCTGATTAGTGATTAGTCCGATTGATAAATATTATTTGGTTGGCTGACATCGAAACAAAAGCATGGAGGAGAATTACATGAAAAGAACTAGAACTATGAAATTTAAGGTTCTGATTTTCAAAATTAACAGAAGCACGTGCTCTGAAGTAATAAACGTTAACTAGTATCAACATAGGTGATTTATGCAACCAACAGATGTTAACTGTTGATGAGCCTAGACATGACCCAATCCTAACATATAACAACATATTTTACATAAGAAATAGAATATAGTATTTCCTCACGTTGATATACTCCACTAATTGCTTAAAATTAAAATAAAGCTATTAATGCTATAATTTATTGGAACATTAACGAAAAACAGAGAGCACTGGACAGTTATTTCATCTTAGTGTGGGACTAATCTTCAGAAGTACGTCCACAACTAGACCAGAGAGGTAACCCAAAACCTTTAGGTTATACGGTGAACGTTTGACCACAAAAACCACCGAGTTAACAATAATGATAACAGAAATAAAATTAGTAGTGAAGAGTGTTTACTAATCAGAACAATGATGATGCATTAGATATAACAGATTTAATTAAATGTTAATATTAAAGAATGGTGATATTTTAGAACCATTTGAAGAAAACAGACAAGTTAAATGAGGTCCCAGTAAAAATGTGTCGGCTTCAATTATCAAATTCTTTTTGTAACAACTTACAATGAATTCATTATCCAGTAAAATATCTAAGTACTAAGACCTCCGTCCCTTGATCATTAGGAATTTGCTTTAAAATCAAATTTTTACTACATACAATTCCTCCAAAAATATGTGTATTAAATTTGAAAAGAACTTCGGAAACTCAGGAATAAAAAAGGTAGATTTTTAAAAATTAATTAAGAAATTTTCTTCCCTCCGAGAGAGTACCTGAACATATTACCATGGCAATTTTTACTGACAATTATGCATTTATTTATTGACCTTACTTCAATATTTATTAAACATCCATTTATCCACTTGATATTTAATGAAAAATTCAAAACTGGAAAACTGTTGAAAGTAATTAACAGTAACTTTTCTGTTTGTTACTTTAATTTTATAGACGTATCTATGAATGAACATTTACTGAATTAAACCAGACCTTTGTGAAATTTGCCAACTGATTTACCAAATAGACGTTTATGTAACTGACTTTAGGGCGCTAATTTGTTTGAAAGCTAATGATACTGTTCATCTGAAAAAACTGAATTAGGTTGAGAGACATACGAACCTTTAAAAGTGGGAGTTGTCAAAACTTAGACCACCGAAGAACTCTCATATGGTAGAGGATAAGGAGATTACTTCGCTACAAAACTGGGAAGGCAGAAAAGAACGTTTAGAAATAAAACAGCCTTGGGGTTTAGATTAGAAAAGTTTGGAAATCCTGGTTCGAAACAAACGGCGCTCATAGAGTGTTAAATGAAAGGATGGCATAGAAATGTAAGATGATCATCGGATAACGGGGGATTAAGTTTACTTATATTGCTCTACTCCTTTGTATACAACCACTTTAGATTGAAGATCCAAAGATGGTGCTTTAAGTAAACCGCTTGTCTTGGTTTCAGAATATGAATAATATCTCAAACACATTAGTGATGATAACATATGACAAATAAAACCAAACAGTAACGAAGTGATTTTGATAAAAGTGTTTATAATTTGCAATACTACAAATGACAAAATACATTTAGAAGGCTTACATAAAATCATCTACTAGCTATGTGATGGGGATCAGTTTTACTGACGGCGAGAAAAGTCGAACTTAAAAACGTTAATCTATAAGATAGACTACCTGATTCAGCCGCCAAATGCCATGGTACGGCCGAGAGTAGGGAGGGGCCAATCTCCCTCTCCAAATGCTCTCACGCGGCCACGCATATACAGCCTCTACTAGGGAAGTCCTACTCACTGCCTTCTCGTGGCACCGGTGTTGTTTACGAAATTGAGAAGACGAAAAGCGAATGTACTGCGCTTTAGCCGGGTTGGTGGACACGGCGAGTCCACCTAGGGGAGTTGGAAAACCCTGATTCCAAACCAATGGTGAACATGGGCTCCAGTATCCTGAGGGAATAAATGACGAGTAGACCAATTGTTGGTCACCTGCTACCATAGACATGCATTTCCTTACGAGGCCCCACTGCCTTGTGGATCAGAATTTTAGGTCTAAGGTTCGGGGTGTCGCCATCTAAGAAAACCACCTGCTTCGATCTGGGCACCTGGGCAGTATCACAGCCCTCACATAAGTCTAATGAGATGACAATTACTTCACAAAATACTATGCTCGCTTTGATTAGAGTTCATACAATCCACATTCACTTGATAACACCCATTTTCATTATTATAACTATTATTATAATTACTTCTTTATATACTACGCCACTTATCTTCCTCTATTTTCATTTCATGTAGTCCCATTTTTCAACTTATGCAGCAGTTCGCCGATGGTGGAAACCCTGTTCTACCTAGTCAATCTCCAGCCACTGTCTGGTAGAAAGTAAACGCTTCCACCGAATACGTATACTGAACCAGTCTTTCCGAAACCACGTACACCATAAAAACTGGCCTCATTCAATGCTCTCACACTAATGTAAATCGGACAACTGATAAGGCTGGCTATGTCTTTAGAAAGTCTTAATATCGATGTTTGTTGTCTATCCGAGACCCGTGTTCAAGACATCTGTCGCTTCGAAAAGCTTGTCTTACGTGCGTTTTTCCGGGGTCCCTTAGGCGTTGGTGTCGAACTAAGCGTTAGAGTTGAGGCAGCACTAATCGACTGGATCCCCATTAACAATCGGTTATGTGTAACAACATGGTTTGGTTAAAAAAATTTGTTCCACGCTTTTATATTGCTTTTCTTTATAAAAAACTTTGTTCAGACAGCTTATTGAAAATAGTCACCCATTAAGAATTATATATTTAAGACTGACTGAGAAAATAAGCAAATAAGATACACGAGAACAACTAGGTGAAACTCGATAAAAAAGTGGGCAGACATTTTTGTACTAACTTTCCGACGAGAACGCTTTGAAAGCTTTTCTAGCTCACATGTTGCTCTCTGAAGTTCATTTTTTGCTCGACGCCACTCTTTCCCATTTTCTCGATCCAACTGAGCCACTGATCGTTTCCATTCTTCAAGACGATCGACAAGCGGAGCAGTTAAGCACTCAGTGAGTTGACTAGATTAAAAACAAGGTAGAATAATCTCGTGAAAAGCAGTCAGACGAATTTGTTTCAAGTAGCAAATAAGGAAAGATAAGTCTGGAACACTACTACGACTAATGCCAGTCACAAACCCGGGTAAAGAAAGATTAGGAATGAAGTTAAAACCTTGACCCCACAAAAAACCTAACTAAAGAACGTTACCCGGGAAAATTTACTAAAACTATTTCCACTTCGCCGTATGGTTCAAAGAGTCTTCGCAGAAGAGAGCTATGACGTCTAATGGTGATATTCTTCATGAGCCAAGAGTTCGATGCACCATTTGACAACCAGAGCAAAAATTACTGAATGTCCGGACAATGTAGGAAACGTGTAAGGTAGAGTTGTTTGGAGATTCCTGATCGACACCTAATGCCCCAAAGGAGGTAACAGATTTAAGTAAATAAGCATACAGGGAACATAAAGATTGTATGCAAATGATTCAACAGCTTTTATATAATAACTACAGTATTCCAATATGTAACTGTGGGTAAATTGTTGTATTGTGGCGTTAAACGCAACTGATGCGACCCACCGGTGTGGCAAAATCTTTGATTGTAGAACGGAGTAAACGCGAATATGTGCGGCCCTATCTGACTCCTTTGCGTCCCGAATAAATGGTATTGACATTTGATGAAATGCATAAAAATTCCCGCCGGCTTTTCCCAACTAACTAACATGACGTAAAATGCACCACTATGTTTGGACTTCATGTAGTGGCCAGTTCTTGAGAACGACCACTTTCTTATGGTTATAAAATGAAATTCCTGTTCAACGTTAGACCAATTTGACAAACTAGGCTTTACACATCACCACGAACACACCAATGTTTGAAATATTATCACTTTTGCAATTGACTAGGACTAAGCATTGGGTTTGAGAGCTATTTTAAACAAATATACACAAAGCCTATTTCATTCGATTTTTAATTGAAAAGTTTGTAAAATAAAATCTCTAGAAATTACAATGTATTTATTTTCCTTTCATATTTTAGCATCATGTACTTGAGTAAACATAGTTTGATTCATTTCTCGGTTAACAAATGCATTTCTTGAATAATAACCCTTGGATGAAGGGTTGGAAGCAACCATGAAGTGACATAAAATACACCCAAGTGGACTTTCAGTAGATAACTCCGCAGACAAATGAACAAGACGAAATGTTTGAACTTAAAGTTAATAGCAAAGTTACCTGTTAAAGGTGCGTAATCTAGATTCCAGTCCCCGTTCGCGCAAACAGAATCGAGTCATTGAAGAACCCAGATCTTTTAAACCACAGTTGCTGCCATATGCACAATCAGCAATTTTTTGGAATGCTTCTAGAAACCCACCGATGCACTGAATCACAGTTCTCCATAAAAAGACAAAAATACGGTATGATTATTTGATCGGAGTGACTGGTTCCTTATATATATTGAAATACGCTGCAATAATAAATACACAATGCTCTGAATGATAAACCGGATGGATCAGTGTGACCTAACTGGTAAGAGGGTGTTTTGTTCTTTGGAGCCAAACCAAAAACAGAAGGCACGAATATTCTCACCACTTGAATTTGACCAAATAATCTAGAATAATATGTCGTTTAGTGATTTATAGCTATGTTATGACTTTCAAAATACTGATTAAATTGAATGGCAAAACTTGTGTACGAATGGTTTAGAGTCCACCTAGGGGAGTTGGAAAACCCTGATTCCAAACCAATGATGAACATGGGCTCCAGTATCCTGAAGGAATAAATGACGAGTAGACCAATTGTTGGTCACCTGCTACCATAGACATGCATTTCCTTACGAGGCCCCACTGCCTTGTGGATCAGAATTTTAGGTCTAAGGTTCGGGGTGTCGCCATCTAAGAAGACCACCTGCTTCGATCTGGGCACCTGGGCAGTATCACAGCCCTCACACAAATCAAATGAGATTTGTGTGGCGCATATATATCTGGTGCTTCCTTGTACCAATATTTATGTGTTTAAATAAATAAATAAACTGGTACGTAATCCAACTGCTGTAATCAACGTTTATGGCGAAATAATGAGATAGTTTTGAATACAGTTTTCTAAGCTAAATTTTTGATTATTATAAAATTATATTGGCCAACGAGTGCCTATTCGATAGCTAGAATAAAAAAAATAAGCGATGAAAGTAGACTACAAATCGTTTGACTGAGAACAATGCATTCGACATACACTACAAATTTGTAGGCGTATTTTACAAGATCATAAACGAAAAGGATTTCATTCCAACATCTGTATTCATTTTGATTAACACATTGGAAACTCTTAAAAGCTGAGCATTCTGAATTTCATAGCATAAAATGCATTTTACGTACATTTATATATAAATGTGTAATATGTAAATATATTTACATATTTACTGACAACTTACTTTAGAGAAGCGCTCAGCTTTGACGTTTTGTTTATCATGTCCTCCCATAATCCTATGGAATTCTGTAACAAAATTAACATAGTGTTTTTTGTATCACCTTCAAACCCGCGAGCTGAGAATTGAAATTAAGAGAACATGGAGGAAATTTGCAGAGATGATCCTGTCTTATTCTTTCCTACAAAACACATGCAACCATAAAATATGATAGTAAAATTGTCTGGTTTATTCTTATTTTTGTCTAAATTCGGATGCGTACTCAAAACTAAAGAAACTGACCATGACCACAACCAAAAGACCGCATTAAGTCCGTCTCAAAATCAGCGCTTTAATGAGTTAAATTATATTAGCACATTGCGTTACGATTTCGTCAGAAAATGGAAATGACATCAGGAACTGTAAACGGACTGAAGGTTTGCCATTAAAATTAGCCATCTCTCCCAGACCACATATAATAACTGGATAAGGTTTATTTTGAAATGTAATGACCATTAGCTGTTCTTTAATGAATATGTGATTTCACGCCTTTCCACACAAAAATAAGCACGGTAAGCTTCTCTGAATTTAATTTTGACCTGTTAAGTTAAGCATTTGAACTTATTAGAGAACAGCTTTTGTGTCTGTGAGTTCAGAGCCATTCGGAAAATTGACTTCATTTTTCACACAATGTATCAGAGCCTTTCATCTAATTTTTGATGGCTTTTTGTTGTTTTGTATGGACTTCTAGTTTTCTTTGAATTCGGATACTTTGCGCAAACGACTTCTTGCTTAGAAAGCTGCCAAGCTTGTTTTTATTTGGATGGTTAGAACCCCATGAATGAAGACGTAGTTGTAAATAAATTCTTAAAATAAATAGTTTTGTAAGTCTTCGGTATTGGTGCTAACTTCATTGGTTTCACCACACACATCCTAGATGAAGGTTCTCAGTCACTCATCTGAACCAGATCATTAGTTTTTACTAAGTGCTACTCATCCCATGCAACTGCAGGCCATCTTAGACCAAACGCTTCTCGACAATTCGATAGCTTTCCAAATATATCTTCGAACTCCATCCTTTCTGTTTTCTGATTTGGCTGAGTTGGTATACTTCTACTATGAAGGTGTTGCTTTTAAAAAAGTTGTCAAATTCCGAATATTTGTGACGTCCTTATTGGCGTGATCGATGTAAACTGGCACACTGTTGGAGCAGTGAAATGTCACCCAACCCTAGCCCCCAATAACTCAAAAGGGATCATCTAAGTTAGTGACCAACAACACCAAACACTAAACTGTGAATATAGTTCTTGTTAGGACATCAGATATCTCTTGTTGTCTTTCATACATGTAGCGATATTATTTTTATATCTTCGGATATTTTTCCCACCCATTTGTACACCTTATCTTAACAAGTCAGAATAAAAACCTTATCCGCTTAAGATTCAAACTTTTTCGCCTCCTACTTTTCTGTCTCGACAAACTCGAAGCCTGGTTCTGCTACACAGTGTGACAGACCCACTTGCACTAAAGCGCGATTTTAGAAGGTGTGTCACCCCTAGCATATTCAAAAATTATGTTTCTGAAACTAACAACAATTTAAAAAGGCTACACTTAAACGTGGAGACATAAACGATAGACAAAGGTTAGACCAGTTCTTTCACAACATCGAGCTGCAACACGGCTCAGCAACAGATTGTTGTTGCATATGCGAGAGGTTACTGGACAACGAGCTTCTGACGAGGGCCTATTTAGACAGCTCTCTTTCTCAAAGCTTCCTTCAACATGTGCAGATAGTTCACTGCTCATTTCAAAATAACACTGTAGACGAACTGGCTGAACCGACCAGTTACTCAAAATCACTAGAACTGCTATTATAGAAGTTGATTCGATCAAACCAATTAGTCAAACGACACAAAATTACTCTACTGACCTCTGTTATACTCTCATTCGTCATCTATTATTCGTCAGTATCATAAACGCCCACAGACTCCTCTAAGAAGCTCGTCGTACGAAAGATGTGTCTCTAGACTGCTAGAGACGGATGATATCGACTGATTTTGGTACAATGATAGGTATGGTATGTTTTCTGAAGATTGCAGAAACACCTACAATTTCCCAATCGCTTAATCAAACAATACACAGAACCTTGGGGAAACTTCATCGCCAGCACACGTTGGTGACAACCGTAGCCGGCGGACACACCCGTCGTTCGTCATCTCGTCGACACTGGTGTAGAATTAGGTGTTGTTCCTGCGAATTCCAACGACCGTGCATGAACCAGCCTTCGAATTACAGTCAGCAAATACAAAGACGATCTTCACCAACGGTGAAAGATATTACCTTAACGTGGGTTTACACAAATGCCATCACCGGATTTTCTTCGTTGCAGATGTTTCTCTATCGATCATCGGTATAGACCTGCTGCAATACAATAATCTACTTATCGACCCGAGCGAACAGAGGTTAGTAGACGTAAAAACTCAATTACCTGCACGTATAACTTCATTTTCTGGCTTCAGGTTATCCCTAGTCACTTCTTACATGCACAAAATATGGTGCGTTGTTGGGAGGCAAAAGCAGAAGAGGTTGAAAAGGCAACAACGATAGGATAACTGATCAGAGTTATTCAGGAAACGACTACCGGAATTCCGGTTGTTGGTGAGGCCACTTCAGTAAAAGACGATATTATTATTTACTCTCAATCCAAGAGATAGAGCTGATTAGCAGAAAACTTTACGGAACAGTTCAACTGGTCTTTAGTCACACTTCAGTTACCCACTATCTCTAAGCAACCTGAACGGCAAACTGGTGTAAGTCTTTCAACTCTTATTGATGTCTAAAAAATGTAAGGACTCTGAAGCAAGGGAATGCAGCGGGGAATGATGGGATGTCCCCTACGATTTTCAAGGACATTGGTTCAGTTTTAGCAGTTGGACTGAGATCTTATGTAGAATCTGGGAGCTGAACATGTTACCATTTGACTGTTACCGATCGCTGATCGTTCTAGTATATAAGAAAAGACAAAAATCCTCATGTGACAATGACAGAAGAATCAGATTAACTAACATGACATCTAAAGTATTAACCTCAATCACACTTAGACATCTAACTAGAGATCGTGAAGAGAAAACGCGAAAAAGCAGACTGGTTCAGATCTGAACGCTTCCCCCGTTTTTAATTAACTTGTCACAGGTATGCTTTCGGAAGCAACGTTTTCACTGTATGACTTGCCAGGCGTTCATCTCTACCAGGAGATTTACTTATTGACTTAGAATTCTCAGGTGGTACAACTCTGTTTGATGACGATTCTGACGAAATAATTTTCTGATCACACTATGCAACAGTCCAAGTCTGTTCGAGATGAAGTTCACTCACTCCAGATGCGATTTATTACTTCAGGATTGGCTTGCTTCATGGCCTAGACTAAGGAGTGAAGTAATTAACATCATGGATCGCTTTAGTTATCTTGGTAGTCTCATCAGTACTGATGTTCTGGTGTACATCGGAATCTCGTCACTGATTCAGAAAGCTCGACTGGCTTTCGCAACTTGCGTCACCTTGGGAACAGAGGAACAATCCGTCTTCAAACCAAAGGGCAGGGTCACTGCGCAGCATTTCACCCTGTTTCACTTTGTGGATGTGAAATATGGCGAGTAGTTGAAGTCCTGTAGAGTAGATACTGGGAAGAAATTAACGTCCAATTCGTGTAAACAAGGAAAACAGAAAGGTTATAACAAAAAGAAATTTAATTCAAAGTATTTCGTTTACCGTAAAATGAGTTCCGATTGAGTTATGTTAATGACTAGTCTTAAGGAATAAGGATTCTTTTCGTGTAAGGCAAAACATTAAATTACCTCTTAATTTCGATTTTAAACTTTCAGTTCAGTCTGTAGATAGTGTGACAACTAGACTTCAAATGCTCAGAAGACGGCTTAATATATTCAAGATTGTTCCAGTTAAGTACCACTACTATTATCTGTATAAATTACTAAGTTCATCCTAAAAGCGAATTTATCGGAAGTCCCAAGTGCCTAAATAATGTGGCTTACCAGCCATACATTTTTAATTTTCTCTGATTCTAAGTGACGTACCAAACAGTAAAAACGACTGCCAATTACAGTTGTCAGGCGCGTGAGAATCGTGATGAATATTCCTAAAGAAATTGGATTAAATTCGGTCCTCCAGAATACAGTCAAATATACAAATGTTCCTAACAGAGATTCATAAAGCAACAATAAGGATTGCACCATGCCGTAACCTTGATTCTTGTCAAGAAAGAATATATTGTCAACACGCCGGCATCATAACGAAACGAAATGACAAAGGCTAATCGTGACTAAATTCGAATGATAAATCTTTAGCCAAAGAAGATTAGATATAAAAAATACAGCTACAGACGTCCTGGACAAAAATCAACAAACTAAACTGGGAGGTGATATTAAGAAGGAATAGCAATACTGTCAAATATGACAATTTACGAGAATTTCAAATAATTCATTCCGTTACAACGGGACATTTCAACCATGTTACCAGTATAAACATACTTATTTTTGGGCTAGACCAAAGTTTGCTTTCGGTTACTATTCACTTAGAGATAATAGGTAGACGAAAAAACACTTATGTAAATGTTCGTGGACACTAAAGTAACTTTCATACGAATCGTTTTATGTATTCGGATTTAGCCAAACAAAAGTCTGGATGTTCAAGTTTTCGATCAAGATCATTGTCTCCAGGTTGCAGTTCCTGTTCTTTGCAATCCAACGATATGATTGGTTGATCAATCGTCAGAAATATATATCAACGTTAAATGGACACTCTCGGGTAGATTATTGGGTGAAGGATGTTTTGTTTTATTGACTAGGTTTTTTCATATGTTTCATGTGCCCAGTGTGTGGTCGGTCACATAGACCCCACCAAACGCGGCCCTATGATACGTCATGTGAGTTGTTGACGCCCTAGGGTGCTCTTTCAGGTAGAATGGAGGGGGGATAATCCCTGCATTTAACCATTTCTGAAGCAATCAGATACAAAGCATCTTTTCTACGGGGCAAATTGTTCTCGATTTGTTGTTTAACCGTTAGACACCCGACATAAGTTATCATGCGCTTCACATATACTTACATACGTACCCAGTTCATCTGTAGGCCTGGAACCATGTTCAGCATAAACATGTTGGATGTAACCGACGTGTTTTTCTCCCGAACTATAATAATAATAATAATTTATTCTCAAATAACAGTTTGTTACATGAGGCATGCCGGTTTAAAGGCAAGATCAAATTGTTAAAGAAGTTACAATTTTCATTG